AAGCTGAAACAATTTTTCACTGATAAATTACTTTAACGATTTGCAAATGACTGACATCATCAGAGGTGGTATGAATATTAATCTACACTGATAATCAGAAACAGAGCAAATGAAGTGCTTTTGTCAAATTGCTTTGCAAAAGGAAAGTTCCAAGGAAATTAACAGCCGACTATGTTGATAGTCAATAAAGTAAATTCAAGTATGAAAGTCAAATATTCCAGTTTGTTATTTGCGAGGATGTGACTAGATTTAGTTTAGATTTAGAAGATTTAGATTTTCAGACCATTTTCACAGTTTTCTGGCAATTAAGACAAAACAATTAATTGAAAAAGAATCAAACGATCTAGTGATACTGGAAATAGTTGTAGTTGCAGCCCTGGTATTTACATTGATTGAACTAAAACTCCAAAACAGAACAAACAATAAAATCCCTATGTGTAGCACATGTATATTTCAACATTGTGTTTCATCCTGAGGAAGATGTTTTAAAATGTTTTAACCACAATAACTAAAAAAACGCTTTCAAGCTTTTGTACTTAACAAAGACATTTTGTTATTAAAGGGATCAAACGTGCAAAAACAATGTTATTGTCCTTTAAAGTACAAGTATCTTCCATAAGAGGACAGTTAACATGATGTTAGCCCTCTGCAGTACTAGGATATTCAAAGACACTGTAGTTGGAATACAGTTAAATGAATTGTCAGTTTGTTCTCAATGATTAGCCACAAAATATTTTTGGTCTAGTATAAATAACAGTCCTTAAAAAAGATCAAATAAAACGTTAGCACATCGTCACTGGTTGTGACGTGTACTTTGGTTAAAACTGTATAAAAACTGGCCGGATTAGACCTAAAGTCTCTGGTAAGATTCTGTAAGGTAAAACAAAATAAAATACACACAGAAAACCAAGCTAACATTTTTCATAAATAATTAAAGATAAAAAGTGTAACTGCAGTAAATCCGTGTTGAGGTAGAGACCTGAGACCTGTATCACGAAGCGAGATCAGCGGTCGGGTTACCTGGCTTCAAAGAGTCGAAAATTGATGATCCTCAGTAACATTATCATGAGGCTGGTTATCACTTTAGAAATAATATCCCCAAATTAAAAGTAAGGCCATATTTTCAAGTGTATGACGTGTTAATGACACTTATCGACCTTTAAGCAGTTTGAAATAGTAATATTTTGGCACTTTGGGTGACCTGACAAGTTTAAGTCCAATGTTCACTTTCTTTTTGCTCTAATTAGTTTTGAATGAAACATCTGGCTCTTAGGTGCAAAATCCTCCGCATTAATCAGCAGCTCACGTCTAACCATGTCTGTCATTTAGTGATGGATGGGTAGAGTACAGTGGGTTTTTAGAGCTTTTTCTTAATGAGGGGCGACAGAGAACCAAAACATTAGCAAGTTACCAAAACAATCAGCTAAGAGATTCTAAAGCAGCTGAAGGAGTGTGCAGTTCAAGTCAACGACAGATTCAACACTAAAAGCAACCACATATTATAAATATTATTCCAATACACTGATCATGTAAAAATACTGATTATAGTTACTTTTGGGTCCATCCGAGCAAAATGTTGTACTCATGATTTGGGCTAACTACAAACAGTGGTCAGTGAATATTCACATTAATGAGGATTCTCAATAATTCAAGTCAGGTCACTCTGATAAATTACCCTGATTAAAAGTGAGCCAGCCTCTAGTAATGGTCGACCAGATTTAAGCCCAAACATAACCAGCTATCTGTCTGATGTCACTTCATGATACAGATCCACGTTCAGCATCATTACTGTTTGATCACAGCACCGTCATTTATCAAAGTGAACCTGAACCGGGAAGTGTCAGAGGCTGCTGGTGAGAGTGGATGTTGGAAGAGTCACAGGATCAAAAGAGTTTCTAAGATTTAAAATAGTAAACACTAGATTAGGTCTTTCAGAATAAAGAAAAAAGTTTGGAGAGTTTGAAAAGTGTGAACCCAGAAACGTGGGGCAGGATAAGGCAGTAAGGTTTACCGCTGCTGCTCTGACATGAAGATTCACTTCAGGGTTGTTATTCACATTCAAAATAATCCTTCAGTGGAGCGAACAGGTGGCGGATGACGGGGACACTCCAGGAGCGACCCAGGACTTTCTGCCTCTGCATCCGACCCATGTTGTTCACATCCGTGTAATGTTTGGGGAATCCAAAGATCCTGAAATTTACAAAACATCAAATTATTAAATGTTATGTGTAGAAAAATAACTCCACCGATTTTGTTCTCTATTCATCATCGAGAAACAATATATTTACAACAGCATGCTGATTTGAAAAGTACGTACTGTTCCATTTCAGTGCACCACAGGTAGTCCTCTTTTCCATTCATGCTGACAGGAAGCGGTCCCATCTTCCCCTGCCTTATGGAGTTAGACTTTGTGGTGATAGTGCGGACTTTGTCGAACTGCAGGAAGAGACGACCAGTTCATTTTAAATGAAATACTTTTTTAAAGCCCTTTCATGACCGTGTTTGCTACAGAACCTCACGTTCTCATCTGTCAGCAACACAGCAAACGTTATGCTCCTACCTTTGCCGTGCGTCCCATTTCCAAACAATCCTGGAGAGCCACTTTGTGATCTAGAGATGTAGCGAGAGGCCTGAAGACAAATGCAAACGGGTATGTAAAGCCGACACAATTTTGTAAGGAAGGAGTTTTTCTTTTCAGAGTGAGAACCTGCATGAAAAAGGAATATGACTCAGTTTGTACCTGTTCATGCCAGGGAGGTTTCCCCAGAAGTAGCGTGCTCTGTGAGCAGGACTGACTTTCACTGCATCGATGAGAATGGGATTACACTGCAAAAACAGAAGGAAGCCCTCAAACAATGATCAGTAAAATTCAATGTAGCCTAATTCCTGTCATTGAATCAACAACTAACAATCAGATATGAGCTAACCTCGAGGAATCTGCAAATGTCTGATTTGTCGTTGGCACTCATGAAAACCACATTCTCAAACAACCAGAAGAACGGACGGTCGTCGCCTTCCTTCGGCTTCAACATGGTCAGAATGCGGTAAAACTCAAAGAAGAGCCGTCCAGTGCCCTCTGCAGGACAAACAGATATAAACAGAGAGTGTTAGTAAAGATGAAGAGTACACGCGTGTAGAGGCTGAAACCTACAGTGACATTATGTTCTCCAGTATTTTATCGTGACTCTGATTTGAGAAGTGTGGAAGCTTCATACCAAATAATCCTTTTCGAAGAGGGTTAACCATTGACAGGTCGTTACATGGACTGCCTCCAATCAGAAGATCAAATGGACCCCATTCAGCCAGCTGCAACACACAACCCCAGAGCTTCAGTTCATATTTCTCTATGTTGTTTAGCCTCTTGGTGAGAAGTTTGATTACACTAACTACACAAGTTATCTTACTGGAGTTTGTACTCACATGTTTCCTTGTGATGGTGCGAACATCATTGACATATTCGATCTTTCCCTGATGCTTGATCATCCCCACAGCGATTGAATCCTCACAAATCTCCGCAGCAATGTAGCGCTCCATCTTGACGCCCAGATCTCTGAGCACCAGGTAACCTGTCACGATGCCGCAGACGTTAAAACCAGGTCACATGGTAAAAGAATTAACACATTTTATGCACAATAAACTTCACTACTTTTTTCAAATTAAACATTAACTCCAGCACTCTTCAGTAGTACGTATGAACAAAACACTACAAAGACTGTATCTTTTATTTTAAAGTAAAGTACAACATGATGAACCAACCTGTTGCAATGCCGTCAAACAGTGAGAGCACCTTGATTGGTCTGCGCTGATCAGCAGGGATGGAGGGATACACTCTGTGAGGCTCCTGTGATTAAAAAGTGAACAACTTTCAGCACCACTACGACAATTAGGTTTTTAACAGCACACACAGCAAGAAACACTACACACCTATAATTATTTGTCCTTTTCAATAGTAGAATATTTAGAGTAGTAAAGCTTTGTAACTGAGCAGTCCATGTGTTTGTTTTTTTATTTTAAAACAGTAAATCATGAAAAGCAATTAAACAGCAGCACAAAGAACAAGAACCCAGATGTGACCTAAATGCTGATAGGTGTATCCAATATACAGATAACTCGTGGATGATCACACTGCAAGTATTTCAGTCAGTGCTGGCAGTACATATTGTGTAGATGTTATGCTGAACTGTGCATCATGTGAACTGTAGTGTGGAGCGAGTGCGGCACGTACAAACTCCATGGCGCTGTTGTTGGCAAAGAAGTCTTGAACCTTAACGCTCCAGTCTGGCCTGAGCTTGAGGTTTCCTTTGCACTGTGACGGCTGACACATGAAGCAGCTCCAGGGATCGACATCTTTCAGCTTGTCAAAAGTTCCCGGGCCCACCAGGATTTCAAGACAGTCCTTACAGAAACATCTGGGAGACACAGAAAACAACAGATAACAAACATGAGAATAAGAAAGTAATGAATATTAGTAGTCCCCTCCCACATTTACACATTTAGTCCAGAGACCGTGGAGCATATGGATCCCTTCTCTGTAAATGTAAATTGCTCACAGCAGCGACAAGAGTTGTCTTACCTGCAGCAGCTGGCAATCCCACACAAAATGACCTCGAGCCCAGCACAGCACACGGTGCAGTACGACTGGTAGCCATCTTCATCGTAGCGATACAGTGTCTCTGTGAAGTTCTCCTACAAACAGCGACAATGTTGTTTTGCAGCATTTGGGATGTTAATGGCAGCCGTGTTTTTGGATGGAGGTTACACATTTACAAACTGGGCTGGAATGGAGTAAAGCAAACCACACCGAGGTAGACAGAAATAGAGCGTTGGGGTTGTTAGATTACCTTGCATTTATGACAAAGACCACCTTGAAACAGTGGGTGAGAAACTTCAATGTCAGATGATCCACAAGACAAACAAAGATCTGAAATAACAAGCCAGTTCCTTTAGAATTGAGAGATTTAACTAAGCATCAGAGAATCACAAACTTCTTCCGCACGCTCACTCAAAACGTACCTTCAATGGTTATTCCCTTTTCCTTGACCTTTTCTGTTATCAGTTCTGTAAAGTAATATATAACAACATCACACATAGGAAACAAATGATGATGATAATAACATGAGAATATCTGAATCACCTGGATTCAGTAAATGTGTCCTCACACTTTCTGTTCTGTTTGTGGACACATATAATACGTACCTCTGTTATAAGTGATGGCGACTGCATTCGCCTTATTTTTAAAAACGTATTTCCTTTTTGCTGGGGGCTGGAAGTCGGACTGGGCAGAGTCAGAAGTCTCAGCATGTGCAGCAGAATCTTATAGAAAAAAAAGGAAACAAGTTTTAAAGACGCATCTTTTTACAGCAACACTTAACCAGCAACACTTAACCAGCCTTGTTTCTTTCGTTTCTTACAAAACTGTAAAACTCATCATGAAGAGAACTTGGCAAGATATATTATGTACTGTCTTCTTTCAAATCTCCCCTCCCTGATGAATTTAAGATTAAAAATATTTTATGAAGCATCATTTCTTTAGAGGACAATGTTTTTTTTGTTGATGGGTTTATAATGTGTTCATACCAGGAGGTAAGAATCCGTCTGGTCCCGAAGGCAGAAATCCTTCAAAAGCCCAGTTCAGCATCAACTTCAGCTCTTTGTCTTTATCTCCTTCAGCCTCAGCAAAAGACTTCCCACATCGCTCACCTGCCAACTGCAGAATACAGATGTGAACAGACTCTGAAATGCTGGTGAAACAGTTATTAATCATTTGGTCGTCTTCGGAAAACCTTCTGATTTCATCCTGGTTAAAACCATTAAATAATCAAATGGCTGCTGACGCGAACAGTAAAATAAGTCAAATATATGTTGGATTGAATTTATGGAAACAGATAGAATAATGGAAAAAAGGGGGATGATATTGAATTGAATATTTTATATTTAAGTATTCTCTGTGGTTTCTTGCTGGTGGTGGTGAATCTATCAATCGGAAAGTGACATGGAGAGTCAGGCTGCTTTGTTAGCATGCTAATTTCAATAAAGTAAAAATATATAGAAACTTAAACTAGAGAGCTATTGTTGGCATATTGGTTTTTACTGATGGAGACGGCTCTAGGTGAGTTAAGGAGCGAAGGTCAGTGCTTAATTTTCTTGCTAATTTGCTAAGTAAACAGCTGTTGATGCTAATGTTGCAATAGCCAAAACATGTACAGCACCTTTAAAGGTTCAGAACATCATTATAACAAACATCCACGTCAAACCTCTTCACAGTCGACTGATTAAAAATCCCCGCAGAGAGAAAAGAGATGGAATCATTTTCACCACAAATATGAAAGAAATGGTAGAAATAATCACTCTGACTAATGATGTGTGTATTGATGACTACTGACTTCATCTTCTACTCTGAGTTGATGAAACAATCGTTTGAAGAACAAACTACAGAATCAGTGTCATGAGGGGTAATTCAATTGGTGAGCAAGAAAAAAAAAATCAAATGAAGATGTGCAGGGGGAGGAAATCAAATCTGAAGAACAGCATGTGGGACAAAATGTTTTGCTCTCCTACCTCTATGATTTGGAAGATGGCTGCTTTGTAGAGGGGCAAGCTGGCGAAGGAATTTTTACAGAAGCACTTAGTGAAATTATTGAATGCCAGTAGACCCTCTGTGTAGATCTGCAACAGAAAGCAATGAAGACTTAAGAATCCAACTCCACGCATGTTTCTCCAGCTACGACACATGCACTGTATTTCTAACCTCTGAGAACATCCCGTCTCCAAACCACTCCACCCTCCGCATGCCAGAGGGAGCGGACTTGGTTTTCCAGGGTGTCACCAACCCAGGCCACCAGGAAAACCCCTTCACTTTCCCCCACACCAGCTCTCCTGCCAGAAACCCTTTCCCATCCTGCAGATGTCAAAAACAAAAGGAAAAACAGACATTATTTAAAATCGCATCTTCCTCTTAAAGGAAGATAAAAAAAGATATTTTCTATGACATGATGTTAGAGCCAACTTTTTCCTGTAACTGTTTTTTACCTGGTAAACGTGCTTCCTTCGTCCTCTTGGCGTGGATTTACTGGATGGCGGTGACTCTTTTGGCTGAAAGTAAACCACATTTAGAATAAACAGCTGTCAAAGGTACAAAGGAATTAAAAACATTGCTATTGTTGTTGTTGATATGTAATTTCAGATGACGTGGAGGAGTTAATTTGTTAAAACGAAGATGCAAGGGGGGGGCATTCATTTGGGTTAAGATTTCAAAATTTACTTTGTTCAAAACAAACAAAAAACTTCACTGTAGTTTCAAATGCTCTACTTTGAACGGACTTCAGTGCAGCATTGTGCTTGTGAGGATGAGTTTAAAAAGAGACTTAGCACCAACTGAACAAAGCAAACAATGAGATGGAGGTTTGTTAGATGTAGGACTGAATTCTCTTCCACAACATTTAAGTGGAAAATAAATTCAATGCGTTTTTCAAGTCTTTTCAAGTTACCTGATAAACAGATGGATGCTTCAGCAACACGTATGTGCTGCACATGTGGATTTGCAGTAAAAGATAATTTTCAAATTCTTTTACATGTATGTGCCAATTTTATTATTCTTTGGATTTTATTTGGACTTTACTGTTGCTATTTACTACCTCTGCCAAGGTTATCAGGTTACGCGAAAACTGATTAACACGAAACGGTGGAATGAAATTTGTGAGATATTTTAGTTGATATCTCAGAGAATAATTCATGGATCTTGATTTTAAAAATCAGGCTTGTTTGAGGGACTGATATTTCTGACTACCTGACAGTTGGTGCAGATCTAAATAAAAATCGGGGGAATTCAAATGTGGTTTCATGCCAGAGGTCCACTCTGGTAGTGTTTGTTATCTGAAATTGTTGAAGCTGAATCTCGACAGATTAGATATAATATTAGCTTTAGCCCTGTCTGCCACCATGTAGTCAGATGCCTTTATTTCTCTTTGTGCAGGATGGTCATATGTTGGGTAAACCAGCAAATATTTATTTTGTCAAATCTATCATTATTTCAGAGGGTAAAGAGACCCGTTAAAGGTGCTCTGGTAGTATACTTCAGTATACCTACCACCTCATCTTGGGACTCCAGACCATTTTTGCTGTCCTTATCAAGATCTACAGGTTTGGACCAGGTGCTAGCACCAGCTTGAAACACTGCACGGGCCTGTGGCTTCTGGCGCAAGCTGCTCCCACAGCCAAAACTTCCCCTACCGGCCCCCTGAGAGACAACACACTCTCATTACACACTCAAATCTCATGCACATGCAGATATACCCCAAAACACTCACACACACCTTCATCTTAATCATACCAATGAAAGAATGGAGAAGATGAGAGTGACTGAAAAGTGGTGAATTCACTTTACAAAAGCAACTTAGCAACAAGTTGCTTCTTTTCAACGTAAATGTATGAGACTGAAATGCAAAAGAAGGGCAGAGATAAAATCCTGTCACCTCTTTCAAGATGCCATTCTCTCCAGGTTTATCATCACATTCTTCGTTTAGATCTTTGGAAGGAAGCAGAAAGTGCTTTGCTTTAGACAGGTGATTATTATGTTATGACAGGTTGGAACTAAAAATGTGGGGAACGACAGCCACCAAGCCACAAAACAAAAAGATTACAAAATTTAAAAGAAAATCTTACTATTTATCTTTGTGAGGCGGACTTCACATTGCTTCACTCCAATAATATGACCATTCACTTCTATAAAATAAAATAAAAGATTAAATAACATCAAATCATCAAATGCAGTGGCTTCTTATACAAGTATTTTCCTCATTAATGTGCACATCATATAAATCATTGTCAACATCTAATGCAAGGTTTGTTATTTATCAGATTATTTGATTAAGTTAGGTACAAATTTAACTTGTTAAGATCGATGAACTGTTGTTCTTCTTACCTTTACTGTATTTTTTCACGGTGCTGTCGGATTTCGCCTCACACTTGCTTTCTGTTGAGACTTCGTTCTCGGAGATCCGAGCAGTGTCTCCATTATCTAAGGCCTGCGACAGGAAATACAGCACATGCACAAAATTTGCTAAACAAGCAAAAACTTAACACAGACCAAAGATGATGATGGAGCTGTAGCATTTACTTACCTGAGTAAAAACACACTGAGCATCCAGTGGTGGACAGGGAAGAGACAATAGGGTCAAAACAAGCCTCCTGAAAACTGTCTGCTTGCTGTCCCCCAGTATCCCGGCCCAGTGTTTCTCCAGTGAAACCTCTGCTGAGTGGTTCTCCTCTCCCTCCTCAGCCAGCTGATAGTGAAGGAATTCACTCGTGAGCTGGTTGACCTCTTCAGGGGAACTGCAGATTCCCAGCTTGGTCCCAAGCTCCCTGACTGCTGTTCGTGTCACTTTCTGCCTGCTCTGGGGATTCAACAGCTGAGCTATGCTCCTTAGAAACCCATCATTTAGAGGCAGCTTCTCCGCAATACAGCCAGTCAGTGCGATGTAGAAAGACAACGCCTCTTCTGTTAACAGTGTGAGTGCCTCTACAGACTCAGACTCATTTAGGAAATCTTCAACAGCTTTTCCACCCAGACTGAGTTCAGGGCTTGACAGGTGGAATGTCTTCTTCTTGAGGATTTGGTCATCATGCTCCTTGAGGAAGCGAGCAGCAGCTTGAGGGTGAAGGAAGTAGGAGGTGTAGGTGCTCAGCAGGTTACTGGCTTCTTCTAGAATGAGCAGCAAATCAGCCCGAGCAGCTCCTTCCGATGTCTGCAGATGCATTTGGAAATTGTGCAGCGGCTTTAAGGCCTGTTCCAGAAACATAAATGTTGCCCTCACTTTGTGATCCTGCAGCCGGGAGCAGATTAACTTGGCTTTCTCATCATCCTTGTCACAAGAGCTAAAGTACGATATAAGATCTGTCCATTTTTCCAACATTTTCGTGACTAAAAGGCAAAAGTTAAGGCAGCAGTCGTTGATATAAAATGATGGAGAGTCCACGGAGATAGAGCCAAAGAGAGCCTTGAGGTTATCCTCTTTCTTAGAAGAGGAGGAGTAGTGGGCATAAATGTCTGCCATCAGCTCTTGAGTCTGATTGGAGAGCTGCTTAACTCCAGCCTGGCAAGCAGCATCACTGATGCTGTACAGCCCTCCAAAGACCGCTATGTTCGGGTTGAGTTCCCTTAGCTGTGAGCAGATCTGCTCTGAGGCCACACCATTACCATCGAGGTAAACAGCAACAAGGTTATCTGTGGGTAACATAAATTTCTTTAAGGTCTCCCCCACTGCTGCGGCTGTTTGATCTTTTGCACCATTCTCTGGCTGAAGAGCATCCAGAAACCGGATGCAGTGCCTGGAGGCTTCTACGTCAAAGAATCCAACAAGGACCACAGAGGCGGTTTCATCCTTTCCAGCTGTTACCCCTCCGTAAATGTACACACAGTAAGGAGTGTGCTGGCAAACAGATGTAATATCTTTGGGGTACTGCAGCCCCAGCTTGCTGCGTGCAAAGCGTATAGATGCCTGTTCACCTTTGGCAGAGCCATTATAACAGTGTCTGTGAATAAAGCGGATCGCTGCATCACTGCAGGGCAGCAGTTCAGAGTGCTGGCTTTGCCGGCAGGCACTCTTGGAAATTCCTTCCCGTTTCTTGTGTGTGCTTGTCTCCATGTGACGCCGAAGTTCTAAATAGCCTTTAGTAAATGTTTTGAGGTTTCTAGCACATGTGCTGCAGTAGGTATATTGCTCTCCAAGACTACTCAGTTCAGCCCAGTCAAACATGGTCTTCCACTCTTCTTTGTATGGGAACTTCTTATATATGTCAGTGTCTTTCTCTTCTTTGTCTGATTCCAATCCAAGGCTCACTGACAAAGTAAGAGAAACATCATTATTACACAAGCGCTGTAAATTCTATAATCAAAACTTTACCATATTTCATTGACACAGTGAAAAAAAATTAAAAGTTTTATTTACGTGAGGGTCGAGATGCAACAATTGGGCTGATATCCTGGCTGTCCCGGGCTTTCACAGGGTCGTATTCTTTACATATATTTACATTTGCTGTGTAAAGAGCTTTGAACCACTTCAGGATCTCAATGTTGCCTTTAAGATCCCCTTTTATGAGATCCATAACTGGAACGAGCTAAAACAGGACAAAGAAGACTTGTAAACATTTAAAAAACTTGTATATAATACAATATAACAACAAATCATTGTCTTCACTGAGCTAGTTTAATAAAGGAACAGTGACTTTCTAGGGTCATAGTTCACTAGGTCATATACACAGGTCACTGTTTGGTTACCAGACCAATTGAGACTCCAGGAGGTCTCTGCACCTGACTACATTTTCATTGTATAAAATAATATCACGGCTAATACACAGTATAATACACAAACACATGCAAAAACATATGTTCACGTATGGTATGGAAACATTTTGAAGCTTCTCATTTCTGTGTTTACAAAAGCTACATAACAGGTTGAAGAAAAAAAGAAACTGTAATGCTATTTAACTTGAGAAAATGTGCATACCTTGGTGATACCGCTCTTTCTGAATGCCTCATGAAGCAGACTGAAGTTGTGCTGATATTCATCCTCACCCTGTGCATCAAACTTCACCTTCTTCATGTCAACAGAGCCACGAATAACCCAGTCCAGCATCTGACAGTGGCATGCTCCTGTAGAAACGTACACATATGACGACGGTTCAGAAAGTGTTAAAACAGAGACATGGCGCACAACACCTGATCTTAACAGCTCACACTGGCTCTTTTCTGCTGGCATCATAACTTTCCACAAAAAAGTCCAGGTCCCAAAACCCATGTACTTATGGCTTGTAGCAGCTGTGCATGATTAAAGTGTACTAACGCAGGCATATAGAAAGAATTCCATTAGTTCATACTGATGCATCACCTGAACCCATCTCTCGCACATCTTTGAAGTCTGTTTTGAGCAGGTGGTTGAACCATGACACCAACTGAAAGCGGCTGGATTTATCATGGGAGTAGCTTGGAGTCAAAATCAGTGCCGTTGCCATCTTGCAGCTCTCTAAGAAAGAAAACAACAATAATCAAATTTTTATGAATTCAGATTACCTCATCAAAAACATCACAGATAATCCCTGTTCACATCTAAATATATTTTAAATTACAATTTACATCTATATCAAACATAAAATCTAAATATGTTGTAAACAGTTTTTGACCGTCCAGTTCACGTGTCCTTGGGAAAGACACTGAAAAACCTCTTGGTGATTTGGTGACATTAAATCACAGGTGCCTTTCTTTTGTTTTACCTCCCTACCCGTCCTGTCATTGTATTGTGTTTAATTAATTGTTCTGTGTTGCATTTATTTAATTGAATTGGGCCTGATGGATGTAGTGATGTAAAGAGGGGATTCTTGTCCTTGTTTACTAATTGAATCATTTATTCACAGCAGGTGTTTTAATTTATTGTATTAAAATGTATTGTCTGTGGAGATGGTTTGAAAACAGGCTAACTGGACCTGACTGCTCAAAGCTCAGCTCAGTGCAATTCTCTCAGTCAGTACCATCAGACACGAGCAACAGCACGTCCTTTCCTCTGTTTTTCTAAACTGTCGTAACATGTGTATGCTTCTCAACCGAGTCCAGTTCACCTGTTTTTAGCACTTGGATATGTCAGTTCACCTCCTGGGCACTGCTGAGGTGCCCTTGAGCAAGGCACCGTACCCCCCAATTGCTCATAGGGCACTTTTCCTGGGGCTGCCCATCACTCTACCATCTCTCTCCAAAAATGTGCATGTCTTTGAGCCCTCTGTGTGTGTGGGATTGTGGGTTAATGCATGTATAAAATGAAAAAACATGAGTGTGAAAAGAATTTCCCCTTGTGGGATCAATAAAGGAAGTTTAAGTTTAAAACGCAGTCATTTGTGACACAGCTTTGTTGGGCCTTACATACACTACATGCTCCCATCTACAGCTTAGTATTTCTCACATGCACCCCCACATAAATCTATTTCCTATTAGAGTATCATCACATTTTTACTCCTTCAAAAAGCCTATCTGTTTGCGTTCAGGCTTGTGTGTGCCCCCATCCCATGGCTGACTTCTAGGGATGGGGGTGGTGGGTGAGACAGGGCCAATGGGTGGGCTGCCTAATCCTCTATTGTTTGTCTGACGGTGGAGAATGAAGCCTGGAGGTTCGTGTCACCACACTCTTGCATTTGCATCTGTTTTGTTTGTGTGTGTGATGGTTTTGCATGTTGCTGAAACCGAGTTAGCTGCTGAACACATGAGCCACACACGCTCCTGCACCTCCCTCCCTCCCTCCCTCCCTCCTCGATGTATAGGAAGAGTCAATGAAATCTCGCGTTGTCCCATTTTTCGTTTTGCCGCGAACGTCCCTATTGCACAACTTTCGCTGACAACGAAACTTGAGCTTTCGCTCTCGACCGCGTTGCTTCGCTTCGCACGGTCACAAACGTGGTGGAGCGACGAACACGTCGACCGGCAAAACACACATCTGTAGTCAGCCTTCAACGTAACACATGCACGGTGCTGCGGCGACAGCCTGGTTTTTTTTTTATGATGGAGGCTTCACATCTGTTCTGTTTACACGCTGGAGCGAGTAGCACCGAGACACACATGTAACAACAGCTGCTCACCCGCGCATATGCACGTTATTACTGCAAAGGGGCGACGTGAAACTAAATGAGGTTTGCTGCCATTTTTATTAGGATCCAGTCTGTGGGTCCGCGTACGAGCCGGTCTTTGTGTTGCGAGGCTGCAGGAAACCGGAGAAACAAACCAACCCGGACAATAAACCACGCGCTGCTTCATACCGGAAAGCGACAAGAGAAAGTTCAGACGGGACGTGAAAGCGACAGGTTTTCCACGAGGCTCCATTGTGGGTGACTTACCTCTGTCTTTCCCCTGTGGACACAGATCAACACCCCCCCTCGACTCTTTAGCTTCAGCACTGAGCTCAGTTCCCCGCAGGCAGCCCGGCCCATGTGACGTCTGCTTCACCGGGAACGGTCCATTGGACGACCGGTGCGGGGAGGCTGTCCAGTAGTAGCACTGCTAGCTAATGAACCGCGTATAATCAGTTTATACGGCTAGCACGTGCAAAGAGCAGAAATGGCTAGCGATTTTCAGCTGGCTGTATCCGTCACCTTATCTACTTTTAATGTGTGAAAACGAACCAGTGTGTAGGTCGATCTCAAAACAGACCGATCCACGAATACCCCTTTAAATAAGTAGCCCAGAAGCTAGCGCGACACTAGCATGTTCGCTAGTATAAAAGGCCGTATCATTAGCATAATAGCAAACATGGCTGCGAAACCCACTCAAGAAAACCAACGAAGTGTGTGGGCTGCTAGCCGCCACGACGCGTCCTCTAAAAATCAAATTAAGAGTGAAGCTAACTTCGTTAAAAGCACGAGTTAACAGACTAGGCTAACGCTCGGCTAACAAATATGGCAGCCGCACCGCTAACCCGGGTCGGTCTCGAGTTACACCTGCCAAGGTAAAGCCGTGACGACCGCTTCTAGAACTAGCTTAACAAGCTAGCGCCGCGTCGCGAGCTAATCCCCGTGTGTCACCCTTCTCCAGCTAGCACAGCTGCTAGCATGACGTTAGCTTAGCCCTCACAAAAGAATGCACTAATTGATCACATTTTGTGACGTCAGTAAATATCGATCAAAGCGATAACTCAGAACCTCACTTATATCGTGTATTGGCTATTGATTGAGTGGAAGATGGATGTCAAGCGTTCATTTGTGAAGCAGCATTCGACGGGTAAACTTAGTTGTGACAACACCCAATGAGTTTCAGCTTTGTTTTGGTGGATTGCAGCAATTAAAACATCAGAAAAGCTAAATTCAGCCTTCATGGTTCAAAATGGCGGCTGCTCTCTGCTGCTTTCAGGCCTGTTTCCTCCAGAGTATCCACTGTGTAAAGGCGGCTCAGCAGGTGCCAGTATCCAGACTCTGAACAACCCGCCAGAGAGATGACTGCACACGGTAAAAGGTAGATTACACGTAAACAGACAGAGGAAACGACTGACAGCTTCACAACCTCCGTTAATATCAAGCCTGTACTCTCACTATCTTGTGAAATCATGACAACACTGGTAAAGCCATTACTATCTAACCTGGGGAAGAGCCAAACTAAATAACAGGCCTGTGTGAATCACAAGAAACGTGTCACAACAAATGTAATAACTGAATCTCAGACATTGAAATACACCTTTATCTACAGTGACGAATCACTGCATGACCTCAGTGTTTGTTTAGTGTGGATAACGTCTTTATTGCATTTGCAGTCAGACAAAACCTTAATTGTATGAGTCGAGTTACAGTAACACTAAAAGTTTTTAGCCTAAATTGGCTGCTATTATCCCTTTAAGCTTCTGTATTGCATTAGCAATCACAAACTAATGTGATTGCTAATGCGTTACACGCTAATGCATTGCATGAGCACACATCTTAAACACGTAATTACTGAGAATGCCTCTACTGGCTACTAGAATATCACAGCTGTGTTAGCGATGGGTCAGGTGAGATGTTATAGTGTCTTTTGGAGATATTCAAATTTAAATCAATTACAACATTTGCATGTAACATAATAAAATATTAAACATAAGTCAAATGTTGTTGTATGACTGTCAAGGGTCCAAGTGACACTGTGTGCCTTGGAAATTGGTTTGTATGACTAACATGATTTAGGCCATTTTTATAGTATGTCATACATGTGCTGTAGAAATAAGGAAACCGGGGGGGTCAAGGGGTTAATGTGTGCATCTGAATTTATGTCCAAACTCAGCTGTGGGATCAATGTAAAGATGGGACTACAATGGCTGACCACTGACGGCTCACCGTCCTCGGGGGTGCTGATGTTTATGTCACATGGCACAGTATTTATGGACTGATGCAGGGGTGTGCAACCCTTGATGTGAAAATGCTCTCATTTCGTGAAATATTGCTTTAATACTGAAAAGTCTCTTTATGATGTCATTATGAGGGTAACTTCAGGCATTTGTGACGCCATCTGAGGGCAAAAGAGTGGAGCCACACCAGTGGTAGCCTGCAGCGGGGTCACAGGGGTCAGGGTGGGCTTTGTTTGTCCAGCCACCTCTCAAAGCAGCCCTTCCTCCCAAAGGACTGGGTCTTCAAATTAGAGAAGAAAGAAAGACGTTGGATGTTCACTTTCACTCATGTGGCTGACGTCAAAATGAGGAAAAATATGTGAGCGTTCTGTTTAGAGTTAAAACACCACAAAATAAATTCATAATTTGGACCAATCTTAATGATTTCTTGGGTTAACGGGTCAGAGAAAGGAATTCAGGAGTCTTAATCGTAACAATGCTTCGCTTACAAAAGGAGAAAAAAACCACCATAAATTCCATTAGTTGAAAGCTTGAAGAATCGGTCTAACGAAGTCTAATATACGACAAGAAAACAGTTGTTCAAGTGGAAAAAATGGCTTTAGTGGATACATTTGCTTGCCTGTTGTAATGCATGTAACTAATATTCAATCTAGCAGCCCTTCTCTAAATAATACACGGGTATTAGTCTAGGATTGCAGGTTCTCAGGGTTCAGTGATTGGATTAAGACAGACACAGTTTAGCCATTTGTATAAATCATTAACATATCTCCTCCAACTCAAAACATTATAGCGCTTTCATTTGCGTATGCCATTTGATCCTGTGTGAATGTTTGAAGACATGATTCACTCGCTAGTTTATATTGGCCTTGTAAAAATGTACTGCTGGTGTGAGCCCTGTGATGGAAACTAAATGAGAAACACAGATACATTAATCATGTGATACGAAACGTGTATGAAGAGAAATCTTGTGATGTGCAGAGAGGGAAGAGTCAAAGAGTGAAGAAGAAAAGTAAAGAGAAAAGAGAATAATGAGATAGTTTGATTGACTTAGCAAATGCAATACAGGTTTTTCTATTTCAATTGTCAGAAATCCAATGAAAATACCAAAGTCACCAATCAATTTTACTCTGTCCTATCTGTATTTATTCTCTGCACCAAAGACATTGACCACTGCACTGGGCGATATGTGCCTTTATTTACACGGGCCATATAGTTTTTTCCGTCAATCCCACATACGTATTTCTGCTGCGGTTATTTCTCACTTAAGCACCACGTGTATGAGGACGTGGTCAGACTTACCATGTGAAAAAATGCAGGCCGCTCATTATTTTTGGTGCAGCTGCTGCACTGACACAGCAGGGGCGCCAGTGTAAAGTGTTGTCCTCTGAAAAAAAGGTTTGACCTGGCTCAGCTTTTGACACAACACAATCCTACTATGCGATTTCAATCAGGAGAGACTTCTAGAGTAACAAATATTGTGAACAGAGGAATACTCTTGAATAATTATAAGAAAAAATAATTAATACTCCTGGAATACTCGTGCTTAGACCCCAGTGGAAAGTAGAACATCACGGAGTCACATGAATATGGCACTTTGGACAGAAGGGGACTTTTCCCCGCAGCCTTTAGATAGTGTTGGTGGTGAACGTTTGGACGACTGATGCAGGACTTCTGGTTGGATGGTTGAAGGGGGATGACCCGTTATACAGAGTTGAGATGGTGGTCACTGTACTTTAAGTTGAATGATAGGAGTAGGGAAGGACATTTTAATCTTTGACTTTCATGTACGATACAATGTTATCATCGTAGTGATGTGTTATAATAAACTGTTAAACACTTGGATCTTACAATGAAACCAGCCTTGTAGTTAGATTTATTCTTTATTTTTATACACAAAGATATGGATTTGTTATGGAATCACCCGCTAAATACACTTCTGAAAATACTCCCCAGATCCACTATTTGTCCTTGTTTGCTTAAACCAACTGTGAGTGTTCAGGTGTTTCATTAAATAATTTAGCTTTAATTACAAACAAACTACACAATCTACCTGACTTTAAATCTGTAATAACATATTTTCTTTTAGCCACTTGCGACCAACAGAGAGAAACTGCAAGTACAACAATATTATAACCACCTTAAAGTGTGAATTTGTTAGGAAACAGTAGCTTATCTATACATTTTGCAGTTATGGAGCAACAGTGTATTTAACTGATTATTTAAGTCCAGATTTTACAATGAAAAAGATAAGTCAACTTTCTCAAGTAACAAAAAGTGGTTTATGGTTGTAATTACACACTAATTAAAATATAATCATGGATATTAAATTCAATTTCTTCTAATAAATCACATTAAATGATTCACATTGAACCTTTAATTACTTCCGCCAAGAGGGACATGTTTTTGTTTGTATGTTTAAAAAATGACCATGAAACTTGGTGGAAGGATGCAGTTTGGAAAACCACATTAAATGTTATTATTGTCATTCAACATTGCTAGAATGGATTTTTAATGATTTAGAATTTTTCATGAAGTGAACTGATATGTATGAGTTGGTGCAATTTGGTGTGAATCCAAATAAATATCCAGATCTAGTAAATTTTAAGGGGACTGGGGGGCAATGTGTGTTGTGTACCATTCTAGTTAAGTATTAATAATCACAGATTAAGGGACTAAAGCACTGTTCATTTATTGAACAAAACAATGAAATCAACAGTCAATACAATTTCAATCATTTCATATAAACCTATGTGATATTGAGAGGCTAAAAATAAGTTAACTCGACCACTTAGTGTCTTGTAGTGTCATGTTGTGTGGGCAGAGAAGTCCGTTGCAACAAGTGGTCTGAAACTGGGAAAAACATCTTAAAAGGGGGAAGAAAACAGAGGCAAAGGTCAGTGGGAGTATTTAGAGGATAAGTCTTAGAGGACAGAACCTGACAGGTGCAATCATGTATCACACAGCCATGGCAAAGTGGATGTCAGTGCGGCTGCAGGGGGCCGCTATAAGCATGTCACAGCCAATCATGAAGGTAGAATAAGAGCTGTAGAGTGTTCAGGGAGAGTAAGGAGTGTTTGTGTATCACCACGGTGAGCCCATTACAGCTGTCGAGGCCAAGTGCTATTGGCATGATCGAGGCCATAAACACAGGTGGCACTGTCGGATCTCGAGCTTGTGCGAGCGAGTATTTGAT